GAATATGCTGTGTGTGAAGGGGGCAGCGTCTACACCACCTGTGCCAATACTTGCGAAGGCAAGTGCCGTGATATACAGGTCAATGATATGTCGTGTAAAGAAATATGCATGCCTGGATGTAAATGTCCGGAAGGCCAACTTTTGAGTGATACAAATGTGTGCGTTCTTATTGAAGAATGTTCATGTTTTGACCGATATTCGAACACGTTTAAAGAGGCACATTCAATTACCACTCAAGGCTGCAGAAACTGGTGAGCATGTCTTTATCTTTCCAACATACGATAAGCGACCTCAGATCAAGTTGTTTCGATTTGTAACTGGGGTCTGGTATTTTAACTTGCTTGAGTGACTGAATATGAAAAATAAAATTAACTTCTCAATAGATATAAAATACCAGATAATTGTTAATGTTGTTAAATAACATGATCAAATATGCAATGATTGAAGCTCTTTTTATCCTGTTTCTTTGTATCAGTACTTGCAAAAATGCCAATTGGGTGTGCGACAATGAAGATTGTGACGACAGTATTGACTGTCCAAAAAACCAAATCTACAAAAAAGGTCTCACTGGCTGCGAATCAACTTGTGAAACTTTGGACCGTACAATATCGTGTGGAAATTCTCTAACATATGACGGATGTGCCTGCCCAGATGATATGTACAAAACAAAAAATGTATGCAAATAATACGCCGTTCAATTTGAAACGAGTACATTTGCGATTAGCTTTGTTTCCTCAATATCAAGAGTGGGAAAATAATTGGAATTTATTAATAAACTTGTAATTCAAAACGTTACCAATATTTATCTTTATAATGCAAATATGTTTAACTGGTAAAGACGTTTTCACTTGAAATTTAATATATCATTCTAAAATTTGTTATATATCTTTTGTTTTCAGGGTACTTGTGTAATGAAGGATGAATGTCCATGTTCTCGTTTCGGCGAATACTATAGCCCAGGTGAAACTTTCGAGGAATCGTGCAAAACATAGTAAGTCTGCGTTGTATGCATAATCATGATCATTGCTGTCACCATTAAGAAAGTATATTTTCATATTCCCACTGTAAGTTGAAAAGAAAAAAAAAACAACAAAAAATCCAACAGAAAACATAGTAGGAACGTGACTACTAGTTTGGGATTAGATCGTAGGAGGATGGTATTCAGTCACTTTCGCGGATGATATAGTCACTCAATGGCTATTTCAATGTAGCATAACGTTAGAATGGAAAATATTAACCCTCTAAAGCCCGGTATGACCGATGAGTTCTACAATTTACCGACAATATCTGAAGTCCTAATCATCATTTACGCGAAGGTGGAAAGCATGCAAAGGGCAAAACGCAAATGGTTCTGATTAGATCAAATGGGTATAACAAAAGTGTATTTAGGGACTGTTGTTTATTTTATATTACGTAACATCTTATTTACATATAAGGTAATTCAATAAGGTTTCCTCCTGCGCACAGTTATTCAGATGATTAGTGAGTGTATTTTTATCAGAAATGCTTGTATGCTTTTCAGCGTGCGGCGAATGAAGCGTTTTTGTTGTGATTTCCAGGATATTACCTCTAATGTAATTTTGCAAGGAATTTTTTTTTTTTTTTGATGTAGAACACATTATTACTATCATTGTTCCCGAATGAACTGTTTCGCTCAGCTTACCTCATTCTTGAATAACTGACTCATTTATTTTGAAGGATTTTTCAACTTCGTGCGATTATATTTGGACAGAGTAGACAGAAGATTGTCAAATGACAAAAAAAAAAAAAAAAAAAAGAAAAAAAAGAAAGAAATGAATTAAAAAATCCATTTACTATACACCTATATATATAGATATAAAAGTACGAAAATGAATTGAACTGCACCATACAGCTGTGACGTCATTCTAAGATTTATCAGTAATGTTAAGGGCCTAACGTGAAAACTAAAATCCGACTGCGAAAACAATTAGTTGTGTAAAGAAATGTCATAATTTAGACCGGGATATCACCGGTCTCATTATCCAGTAAATTCCGCAATTCTCATGTATCTGATGATATCAAAGGAGCGTCATATTAGTGTGTTTATTTTCTATGAGTCACTATTCGAATTAATCTAAACATGGCATGCACGTTACACAGACTTGTGTTTTAACAAGTCAAACAGTATGTTTAGATATAAATTGGACAAATATTCCATCTATGTAAAGCCACATTTATGTATAAAAACATGTGCTGTATTTATGTTGTGTGTTATCCAGTAAAAGGGGTGTATTGTATAGTCCTTATGATTACAATTCCATGCCAACTGTCTAAATGTCCGACTTGTTTGACTTTAAAAGAGATAATCACATATATGTACGAGAGGTATTTTATAAATGATATAAAATGAAATATGAAAAATAAAAAAAATCAAAGAATAGTTAATGTGCTGAAATGGATAAATACGATATGGTTTATCTTTTAGCCGCTGCAAAGACAGACAATGGAGTGTCATAGCTAAGGAAGACTGTCCAGGTAAGGGAATATGTATTGAACATTTGCAATAACTTCAATACATGGATTTTGATATCATAATTATATGATATTATTAATATGCCGACAATTTCTATTATAGCTGTGTGCTGGGCATCGGGAGATCCTCATTACACCACGTTTGATGGCATCCATTTCAATTTCCAAGGTGACTGTTCTTACACTTTGGCTAGGAGTAACGGGACATTTGATATCAGTTCAGAAAATGTGGAATGTGGAGATGGTGGCGTTACTTGTACAAAAATGGTACATGTAAAGTTACAAAGTGGTTTGACGATATCATTGGTAAGAGGTTCTCCCGTAAAAGTTGGTGACACAGTTGTTAACGGCATTAGCTACAAAACATCTGGTGTCGATGTTTCCATTGAATTCCCGTGGGTCCGTGTCACAGTCCTTGACGAAGATATTTCCGTGATGTGGGATAACGGTAAGTTACTGCTGATTATTTGTGTTACATACATTCTAAAATTCATTTTGAATACAAAATTTCATCTTTATAAAATGAAGAGAAGCCATGAAGTGTTGAATTTTTGACTTGTGTAAGTTTGTATTACACCACAAGAAATTGAAACCTAAATTCACTATAAATGGCATTTTACAGGCGATGTATAAATGCCATTCTGCGATTTAACAACTCTTTCTCTTTGCTTATGCTTATGATAATTAAGTATATATCTTCATTCCCCCTACAAGGTACCAGGGTTTATATTTTCCTCGGCTCCAAATGGAAAGGCAGAGTGGAAGGTCTCTGTGGAAACTATGACGATATTGATAGTAACGACATGCTGTCTCAGAATGGAATGAATGATGTTAAGGATATATATGGGTTTGCTAACTCATGGAAAACAAGTACAACATGTGCTGATGTACATTCTGATCCAACAGAATCTTTACCTTGTCAGGTCAGTGATGATTTCTTGTCGTACATATTCATTTGAGTCCTAATCTGCTAGAATGCATCAATGTGGAAAAAATGAAGCAAGTTCTGAAAAGAGGTTAATCGTATATTCCATATGACACATCATTTATTAAGAAAAAAATACAGAAGATCGAACATAGATATATCTTCCGAAGGAATGCCGGATCTAAATTACGATATGACTCTATGTGTCTTAAATATATATAGGTCAACATTCACATAGGTGATGATACAAGGCCATCCTTAATTCATTTTGCAATAAAAAGGATATACCTCATCGATAAGTTTCATACATACTGGAAAACATTTGTAATATATAATTGAAAACACATGTTACCTATTTATTGATAAGACGAATCTCGGTGGATTGACATAGACGCATTGGGAAGGTATCGAGAAAATACAGAATACTACATTGAAGAAAAAAAAATATGTTTGACAATTGTTTTTATGGATACCAAAACTTTCTATATTGCTTGACAACTATGAAATAGATTGGTATATCCAACACTTTGACATCACTTTTACGGCCTCATTTATCATATATCAATATATTTTCCTTTACTTTCTTATCGACGGATTCGGAATAGTATTGTAAATGTTTTAGCTACTAACTGAAGTGATTACGTTTTCAGGTAGTACATCATATCAAAGGACACATAGTTTTGCTTCAGCGAGTTTCTTTCCAACTTATTCAACAGTTCAGTTAATAAAGGGGAAGTAATTAGGATGTTGAATTTCTACCAACGATCTATAACATCTGCAGTGGTCTGCAGTAGACGTATATGCATATATGCATGTATAAAAGCCTCTTGTACATATTTGCCCTGATATTTGATATGTATCATTTATGTGTACATGTCGATACATTAGTATTTGCAGCAATGGTATCTAGCTCATGAAATAAAGCAATGGAATTCAATTCTTATGATATGCTCATCAAAAATTTGTATTGTAATGAGGTCTGTTCTCATAAGGTTAAGAGCTTATACTTTATTGCAGATCTTTATTGTCATTCTGGCTTAAAAGTGATATTGATTTGCCGTTTACAAAACTGCGTGATAAAAAAACGATAATGTAGTGTTGTATAATCATGTGAAGTTAAGAATATTGAATTGATCATTCGTTATTCTTGACAAACATGTAACAATATCCGTAGAAGGGATTTGTTTATTTAATTTTCATCAATACGGAACGATCCATGGAAATAGATATAAAAGTAGCTAAAATATCTTCAATATATAAATAAAGTTTCAATAATGAAGAAACAAGGTATGGGAATAGCTTCCTCTTTTATTTTGAATAGGGTAGTCAAAGTATCCGTGCTGCCTGGGCCGAACAGTCATGCAAAGTCATTATCGAAGGCGAGCTTTTTGCAGAATGTCGCAAACAGCCCAAAATACAGACAGACAAAATGTATCAAGATTGTTTGACAGATGCGTGCAGGTATTTTACTTTTTCTATTACTTTAAATAACCTATATGTTTTGTCCGATTCACACACTCAAAACATACTCTAATCAGTGTATCCATGTCTCGCTTTAATTATTAAGGTTATGGAAATGCCGTAATGAATTGCCAGTACGTTGCCGTAATAACCATCCTAACATTTAAAGTCATGACGAGATATACCCATCCGTCAGTCGGATTCTTCTCCAACCATTTTCGAAATATTCTTTAACGAAATATCAATAAATCGTCCAATTGTATTGCTCGACAATTTGATAGTGGGAAGAGCTTCTACGTCTTTGATAGGTGAAATGAGCAGAATTACTGACTTTAAGTTAGTGCGGGGCAGCTTCGAACAAAAACTGTCCCATAATGGTTTTGTTTGTTTCTTAACACCATTTTAAAAATAACATCTGTTGATGATTTTACACTGGGAATATCTTCACTTTTGGTTATTTTAACACTTGACTTCGTGTCACATTGAAACCGAAATTCTTGATCAAATTTCCAATAACTTAATAGAATAAGTGTACTATTCCCTACATGAAGTGGTTCACTGCATACGAGTAGTACAAGTAATACCGCAAGTGTGTTGGTCTATGACTTTACTTATGGATCTAAACACTTCTTAAATACCCGGTGGTTGAATTACCCTTTCTCTTACATTTCTCCTTTATGTGAACAAAATGCTTGTGGTTAAGATTCATACATCATTAACCACGACTTTCGGAAGACCGCGTACGAAAAATCAACCTCTAATTCAAAATAACAAGATCATCGAACAAAACCATATAACGTAAAATAATCAAACCAATATATTCACATATAAAGCATACTATACCTCGAAAAAACTCATACTATCGTAATAAGTCACAATATATGTCCACAGTTGCAATAAAGGCGGTGATTGTGAGTGTCTGTGTACAGCGGTCGCCAATTTCGCCGAGGCATGTAACGCGTTGGGTATACATGTTAAATGGAGAACACCACATTTCTGTCGTAAGTATGACTGGTAACTAGGACTGTCATTTCAATGTAATAATTGAAAGTCTAGTTGTTTGATGTTATTTTGGTAGTATGCAATTACTTTGATACCAATTTCAATTGCGCAGTGTTATTTATAGATATAGCAATATGATATAACATTTTCATCGTAAATGTGTAATAAAAGTATTTGGTCATGTATACGATTTCTTATTTAAAAACTCCGCCAGAAATGTAGCCGCTAGTTCGCAGATAAAGATTTTTTTACAAATGATTACAGTGACATTGACCTTGAGAAAAAATAAAATCATGAAACTTGCACTTGTTCAAGACATTCTAGTCCTAGTGTCTATTACGTGTGTGTAGACTGATAAGAACTCAACAACAAATGAAGACGATAGATCGCTTACAATGATTATCTAAAAACAGTGACGTGATGCAACAATCCTGGAATGAAGCTAGCATGATGGCTTACATGTGTGTGAAGTTTGATGAGAATTCCTTAGCGAATGGAGCTGATTAAGCACTGGCTGACAATGATTTTGACTGTATATATATATATATATCTATATGAAAAACGGTAAAACTACATTTGGCTTTGTCACACCATACCTCAAAATCAAAATTTTCCAAGATATTGTAATACTTATTAAGCCTGTAAAGTTTGATGAGAATCCCTCAAGGAATGAAGCCGCAAGAACACTGACAAATTATCCGAGACCTAGGGACGGACGCAAAGACAGACTGTGAAAAAGTATACCCCGTCAATACCATGCTACCGGTATCATAATGTCTGGGTGCATTCTAGCCGGACGTGCATGTACAATTTGTGACATTAAGCCTGGAACAGATTAAGTTTATAGTTTTACCATTACATCGTAAAATTGATTCTCTTGTTCTGTTTTGATGGTTGTAATTTCACATCAGTTCACATGTGAACCAAACGTCAGTAAACGCTAATGACAACCGAATGAAAAGATGCATTTTTATCCCTTTAAAGCAATTATGTGTGAAGGAGGCAGACGGTATACACCTTGTCGATCGCCATGCCCACAAACATGTGTAAATATTGGCAACGAGCCGGAGCCATACTGCAACGATACGCAATGTGTGGAAGGTTGCAGCTGTCCAGAGGGATATGTGGAAAGTGGTAAGTGTAATCATGTTTCGGTGATTTGACGATTCCGTTCGTTTTAAAAGGATGATCTACCTCTGTCCAAATCCATTTATTTTGGTGTCTGAGAAAAGTGCAAAAGCTGATTAATCCTTATGACAAGTCCCCGATATAGCAATTACGTAATAAAATGCGTGGTCATTGCGTCTACATGTGTGTTCAGTGTAAAGCTAGAATAAGACAAATCGCTCTGGATTCCTATCCACCCATATCGCAATATATCAAATCCTCATTTTTTCTTAATTAGAAGTTAATGAACACTGGTTCTACTATTTTTTGTGTTAGGTTTTTGAATTTACATTTATATAGGTGGTACAATAAAATTAATTGTGAGTCATATTTACTACTGGAGGTGATCAGTTTTGCTTTTTTCTCCTTGACATACCAGTAAATCGTTCATTGTATCACTTTATATTCCGGTAGATGTCCGTATAATTATAGATTATGATATGATTTAATATATTATATGTTTGAATGCTGTCTACTCATTATTAATTACTATCTTTTTAAGTCGATGGATGCATGCCTGCTGATGAATGTCCGTGCCATCATAAAGGTGTGGAATTTGAAGCAGGATCCGTAATAGTAACTGACTGTATGACTTGGTAAGCTTTTCATATCTCAAATATTTCACGTCTCGCTCCTAATAAGAATATTTACACAGCGAATTGATCTTTATTATTTACCAATACGGTAGAAATGGGTTGAAAACACTTTGGTATATCGACAGGATTCAAGTTTTTAAAACATGTCGGTTTGTTGACAGTACCTGCATTTCCGGATCATTTAAATGCGTCGGCGACAGCTGCAAACCTAACTGCACGACAGATGAATTCACATGTTCTAACGGAAAATGCATTTCAGACATGTATAAATGTGACACTTTCCACGACTGTGATGATGGATCTGATGAAGGAAACTGCAGTAAGTTTCACGCCTATGAACTGGACAACACTGTAAATAGGATAAAGTTGAGCTTAACGTTATGTTTATTATAATATTCTAATATAAATCGAATATACAAATTTTATAACGACGGTATGAGCTGAATTTGACATTTTGTTCCAGTGTACTAAGTACATAAACTAGGTAGATAGTATTCACCTGTTTTACGCTGCTGAAAAAAGCAGAAAATGTATTTTGTAAACTAATTTAGCATTGTGTCATCTCTACAGGTCTATTATATTGCAATCAAAGCAAGGTTACATCATTTTGTACAACTATATCAATTTCCATGGTCAATGAAAGAATTAAACCTCTGGTAAAATGATAGAGACTGCGTTATGAATATGTAATCATACTATAAGATTATGTGCTCTGGTAGACTTAGTATCTTTTGCTTCATAAACATCATCCATAATGTATATTTGCTCCTAACCACATGGTTTGATTAATGATGAAACGCTTTTTCTTCAAATTATCTTCATCTTAATTTTAGTACGTCCATGCAGGACAGCAGCAATATCGGTTCGAGTTGATATTTGTTCCAAATTCTGCACCAAATTATCTATTAAAAATATTCAGTTATTAAATGATGGTCTCATATATGCTAGTTAAATAAATGCATTGAGTGCGAGTGCCGTTTTTGAGGCTGTGTCACGTTCTTGGGATGTTGGGGAGCAGTCGCCGACTTCAAAGTGCTACCAGTATCATGCGAAATAAATTACTAGTTTGGGGCTTGCGAAAGCATTTTTTCTTGACATATCGGGTTTTATATGAGAATGAAAAATCGGTGAAAGGTATGTCGTGGTTATGTTACCGTCTACTGTTAAATAAATGTAATACAACGTCAAATAACTAACATTTTATCCATGTATTGTATCTATCTTTCTATTGTTGCATTATGATAACCTTTTGAATAATACAAACGTGGAAGCATGGTTTACATAGAGCGGACGTGTTGCTACATCTGTTTGATATGATAAGGGGAAAAGGGTCGCGAGAAAGAGAATCAATCACGTACTTGAAGATGGGAGAGGAACATCTCCGCCTCTTAATTTTCCTAACTCTCAAAAAATCCTTTTTTCTGACCTATCATAAATTCAGGGAAAGTCCTGTTATTTCTCAGTTTTATAATTGTGAAATCAAGTGTGCGTTAGCCTATATTGTGCACACTCAAACAAATCAACGTCATTATTTGATCAGCATGCAGTCCAGGACAATTCCAGTGTGACAATGGCGATTGCATAAATGGAAATGAGGAATGCGATGGCTATCAAGATTGTATTGATTCCACAGATGAAATGAATTGCACATGTAAGTGAATTCTAAAAATACATTCTTTGCTAAAAACTATAATCTGTCAAAATTTAGGAAAAATAAACTCATTCTGTTCAATTACTTTTCGAAGGCAAAATATGTTTTGACGCTTTTTTATTTGATCAATGAGCATTTATGTACACATATATTAAAGTAACGTACACAGAACAAGATTATTTTGAATTTAAAATAGATTAATTGAAAGTGATGTAATTTGTTCTTCACGTATTAAGCCTAACGAAATGTATCGCGTACATCCACAGCAAAATCCATTTTCAAACCTAAACTGTGAGAGCGATTCACCTTCGTTCCGATTTCAGTTTTGATAGATTGGAAGTTCTAATGAAACCCATAGTTTTCATTTGAGGAAAGGTTTTTTTCATAATTCTTTGATGGATCACACAGGTAAACAATGAAGCTTTCAGAAATGAAAATAATTAACAAAGTTATATGTAAAACTACTCGATTTTATTTCAGATGATAGTTACTACTATACAATAACCTGTCCTTAGTACATCATGTCTAGATTGATATATCTGATCACACACAGGTTCTAAACGGAACGAAAGTTTCAACCTGGACACCATCTATTACGTAGCACGCTAGATTCCTAGTTATTGATAGGTTATATTTTTTTTCACTCTACACTGTTTTTTCACTTAATTGTGTCGAAGTTATACTCTTTAACAAGGTCCGTGGCACGTAGTTGGACAGCTAACTCCACATCGAACCTCAGGCGTTTGGTGAAAGGAGAGCGCGTTTTTATTGCGCCGCTATTCTATGAGCCATGCACATTGGAAGTATATGAAGAATGAAATATCCCTGAACCGTCAGTCATTTTGTAAATTACTAATATGATGTTCCATAATATAGTGCATATCTAATTAAACAGGAAGAGTTTTTAAACTGGGTCAACTTTTAATTCAAATTCGAAATATCATCACAGAATTATATCCTTAATCGATATATTGCATTAAGCAAAAAGATTATACTAAAATACCTTTCTTTCTTTACATTTATCAAAGATAATTGCAAGGATCTAACGAACAGCTTCCAATGTCCGGATGGAAACTGCTTCCCTCTGACTTTTCGCTGTGATGACGAATATGATTGTGATGATAGATCAGACGAAGCCAACTGTACAGGTAATATTTATTGTCTTACTTTCTATGACATTACCTCATAATCTCAGATAGAAGGCTTACGTTATGGTAGAACCTGTATGATAGGTAAATATTGTGTTATATTTTGTTAAACATACCATAATTATCATCAGATGATATTCTATAAAAAAGGCCTATTCCGTGTGAATAATTACACGATTATTTAGCAAACTTTGCAAAATCAGGTTATTTCCCTTTGCCCATAAATTGTTTAATATGAACACTAACATATCCTCTTCAAATAATTGTATGAATTGATTAGGAAAGAGAATCATTCCTGAATAAATATGTCGAAATTATCTTTCAATATTGATAAAATGTGCATGAAGTCTTTTTGAATCTCTGCTTTGTACCCTCCATCTCAACCATTGCTACGACAACACGTTATCTACCTACCTTCCGTATCAGAAGTGATTCGATAATGATTCCTTTCATGAAATATATCTCGGAAAAAGAAAGTATGACATCAGCAAACTGATGGCAGTAGTCAACGTTTGGTAACCAATGCCCAAATTTATTCGTAAAAAACTGTTTTTTTTTTTTTTTTTTATATATATATTTAGTATTTGCGTGTAACAGTGAGAACCATTGGGTACTGGCACTTGGTTGTTTTGTTCCAATAAGCATTCATGATTAGTTACAATGGCGTAAGTGATATATCGTCTTCATTTTTACTGTTTACTGATGTATTTTCGTATAGTTTGCACTGATCCCCACCTTTATCAATGCACGACAACAATGAAGTGCATACCACCATATGTGTTGTGTGATAATCACGATGACTGCGGCGATGCTGAGGACGAAATAGGCTGCAGTAAGTCTTCAAATTGTCTAATGTTGGTTACATACATCTAGATACAATTACAACTCAATTTTTATCTTAACTATGTCACAAAGTGACTCAAGTTTTCGTTATTTTGATTCAATAATGATATTCGTACTATTCAAACAGTGCTCAAACGACATTGTCGGATTTGCCACTTACATACCAATACGAACTGGAATGTAATGTTTTCTTTTATAGGAGCGTTATCCTATGTTACCAAATCAGGCAACCAATTCTTTGTTAAGTGGTAACAGTTAAATCCCGTTTTTCTTCAACGTAAATTCAGAAATAACTTTTGGTAATTTTCCAGACTCATATATTTAATATATGTAAATTTGAAATGCATGAATGGGGATATCGTTACAAAAATCAGGTAGTGGACTTTGATCTTCAGTTTTATTGCAGCTTGCATGCCACGTTTTAATACATTCGAATAGAAGCAGCAATCAAAACATACATATGGCTTCTCTTTAAATAATTTGATATTAAAACATACGAAATCTTCTGGACAAATGAATAAATGCAGCTCACCTTTTTTGTTTGTTTGTTTGTTTGTTCTTTTATGCTGGTCAGTTTTGGTTTTCTACGTTCGCCTACGAGGCTACAAAATTTAGACTCTTGGCCCCATCAACGATTCCTGGAAGTATAGGACATGTTTTATTTCATCGTGCTTGTTATATTCTGTAGAATACTGCTGTTTACATTGGATAACTTCAGTAAAAATATGTAAACATTAAGTTAATACTTTATTGATATAACATTGTATTATATATCTACTAGTTGTGCCTACCTAACTCAAAAATAAATAATTGTTGTTTTTAATTACAGCAACAACCTCAACGTCAATTACCACAACTGCTAGTCCTCCAACTACCACTAGTAGTCCCTCTTCTAGTACCACCGGTCCGACTCCTACATCTTCTCGTCCTACATCTACAACCACAATTTCAACACCAACAGGAACAAGTCTGATATCTACAGTAACGACCCCAGGTATGTAGGTTGTGCACTTAAATGGAATATAGAAATTAGTACTAATTATATGTGGTATGTTTATAGACAATGATGGTTTCATAGTCAATCGGGCAATATGTTATTTCAATGTCCTAAAAGCATTTAGATTAAGCTAAAAATGACTCAATTTCATTATGATAGAGACGAAATATTCAACTTTCATTGATGAAATGGCATTGACAGAAGCAAATATCAAATGGTATAAATTCATGGTATATGATATTAGATTCAGCTATATCCGTCTGTCAAAGTATTAGTTACATGTAACCAAATTAACTAACGTACATAATCGTGCATGTGGTGTTCTCGGAATGATGAATTCACAAATTGGTCTTACGTTTTACAAATACACACATTTAATCATTCATTGAATTCGAATGCTAACACGAAGCACTTGTGTATGTTCTATTCTGCCACATTTTGTGCTACATTCATAATTTGTGCTGTATCTTTTTCTCAATTTCTATTGTGTGCCTTTTGTACAATCCATGTAGTCTACAAACTTTTCTTACAGAATGCCAGGAAATGACGATGGATTCAAGTTCAACGGCCGTTATTCAAAAGACGAAAGATGGCGTCATACACGATTTAAAAGCATTGGTTCATGGTGTAGAACCAACTATTTATTATAGCCTAACAAACATTGAGAGCGAAGTCACCTTTCTATCATATTCAGCACTATTATTTGGTGTCAACTACATTAATGTATATGTGCTAGATCGAAATGGTGTCAGAGTGAATGGACAGAACCCTTTTTCCGTAAGTTAATTTGATTTGGAAATGCGTTCCTAAAGCTATGAGGCATTCATACTAATGTCATTTATATATTCGGCTGATTTTGAGGCTGACTACATTTTTAGCTCGAATTATATAAGAATATAATCGTCGACAAGATAAACTTTCTTTTGACTCATTTCAAATCAAGTTAAGTATAGTATTTTAGACTGTGGAATTTTAGTGGTAATCTGTGATTCATTTTAAAACTGTATAACTAAAATGTGGCCAGGTACCTTTAAAACTACACATACGCATGTTTGTGTGTAATGCAATTCTCAAGTGTGTGTTTTGCGTGAAGTTAAGAACAACATGAATATTAGATTATACAAGAGCATATTTTTTTTCTTTCACTGAGTTAAATGGGGCCCATTTCAAGAAGTAAAAATCTTCATATTTTCTGTGGAGATGTGCTATCAGACATCATGGTAGTATTTACTGAAGATCACTGATTACATTCGAAAAAACCAAGAGTCTTTGACAAATTATGCTGTTATTCAAAATTGAGAGCTGTTGTTTGAATCAACATGTCTAAAAGGTATTCTAATGGTTGATCTCTGTTGACAGATGACACTTGACAGTGATAAGGAGGTCATCGTGCTATTGAACAGTACAAAAGGATATTCGTTGGAGTCAGAACTCCACCCGAGGCCATATAAGCCGATGACGCAGGCCTTTCGAAATATAACAGTTTGCTACTCTCCAGGTGTGTACTTTTTTATATTAATTATGAGTTCTTTAGTACAACAATCAATAGAGCGAAATGTAATTAAACGAAACCCGAAACACCTTGTTATGATGTTAAGTTATAGTTATCAATTGTATTGATTATCATTTTCGTTTGGCAATAAAAGGGGTTTTCCAAATGATATTATCAAACGCAGGATAGCTTGTTCTTGAATTATCGAATTTACATTTATATCGGTGGTACAATAAAATTATCTCCGAGTCATATTTACTACTGGAGGTGATCAGTTTTGCTTTTTTCTCTTTGACATACCAGTAAATCGTTTATTTACTGTCTAATTTTGGTTACATACATCTAGATACAATTACAACTCAATTTTTATCTAAACTATGTCACAAAATGACACAAGTTTTCGTTATTTTGATTCAATAATGATATTCGTACTATTCAAACAGTGCCCAAACGACATTGTCGGATTTAACAGTAACATACCAATACGAAATGAAATGTAATGTTTTCTTTTATAGGAGCGTTATCCTATGTTACCAAATCAGGCAACCAATTCTTTGTTAAGTGGTAACAGTTAAATCCCGTTTTTCTTCAACGTAAATTCAGAAATAACTTTTGGTAATTTTCCAGACTCATATATTTAATATATGTAAATTTGAAATGCATGAATGGGGATATCGTTACAAAAATCAGGTAGTGGACTTTGATCTTCAGTTTTATTGCAGCTTGCATGCCACGTTTTAATACATTCGAATAGAAGCAGCAATCAAAACATACATATGGCTTCTCTTTAAATAATTTGATATTAAAACATACGAAATCTTCTGGACAAATGAATAAATGCAGCTCACCTTTTTTGTTTGTTTGTTTGTTTGTTCTTTTATGCTGGTCAGTTTTGGTTTTCTACGTTCGCCTACGAGGCTACAAAATTTAGACTCTTGGCCCCATCAACGATTCCTGGAAGTATAGGACATGTTTTATTTCATCGTGCTTGTTATATTCTGTAGAATACTGCTGTTTACATTGGATAACTTCAGTAAAAATATGTAAACATTAAGTTAATACTTTATTGATATAACATTGTATTATATATCTACTAGTTGTGCCTACCTAACTCAAAAATAAATAATTGTTGTTTTTAATTACAGCAACAACCTCAACGTCAATTACCACAACTGCTAGTCCTCCAACTACCACTAGTAGTCCCTCTTCTAGTACCACCGGTCCGACTCCTACATCTTCTCGTCCTACATCTACAACCACAATTTCAACACCAACAGGAACAAGTCTGATATCTACAGTAACGACCCCAGGTATGTAGGTTGTGCACTTAAATGGAATATAGAAATTAGTACTAATTATATGTGGTATGTTTATAGACAATGATGGTTTCATAGTCAATCGGGCAATATGTTATTTCAATGTCCTAAAAGCATTTAGATTAAGCTGAAAATGACTCAATTTCATTATGATAGAGACGAAATATTCAACTTTCATTGATGAAATGGCATTGACAGAAGCAAATATCAAATGGTATAAATTCATGGTATATGATATTAGATTCAGCTATATCCGTCTGTCAAAGTATTAGTTACATGTAACCAAATTAACTAACGTACATAATCGTGCATGTGGTGTTCTCGGAATGATGAATTCACAAATTGGTCTTACGTTTTACAAATACACACATTTAATCATTCATTGAATTCGAATGCTAACACGAAGCACTTGTGTATGTTCTATTCTGCCACATTTTGTGCTACATTCATAATTTGTGCTGTATCTTTTTCTCAATTTCTATTGTGTGCCTTTTGTACAATCCATGTAGTCTACAAACTTTTCTTACAGAATGCCAGGAAATGACGATGGATTCAAGTTCAACGGCCGTTATTCAAAAGACGAAAGATGGCGTCATACACGATTTAAAAGCATTGGTTCATGGTGTAGAACCAACTATTTATTATAGCCTAACAAACATTGAGAGCGAAGTCACCTTTCTATCATATTCAGCACTATTATTTGGTGTCAACTACATTAATGTATATGTGCTAGATCGAAATGGTGTCAGAGTGAATGGACAGAACCCTTTTTCCGTAAGTTAATTTGATTTGGAAATGCGTTCCTAAAGCTATGAGGCATTCATACTAATGTCATTTATATATTCGGCTGATTTTGAGGCTGACTACATTTTTAGCTCGAATTATATAAGAATATAATCGTCGACAAGATAAACTTTCTTTTGACTCATTTCAAATCAAGTTAAGTATAGTATTTTAGACTGTGGAATTTTAGTGGTAATCTGTGATTCATTTTAAAACTGTATAACTAAAATGTGGCCAGGTACCTTTAAAACTACACATACGCATGTTTGTGTGTAATGCAATTCTCAAGTGTGTGTTTTGCGTGAAGTTAAGAACAACATGAATATTAGATTATACAAGAGCATATTTTTTTTCTTTCACTGAGTTAAATGGGGCCCATTTCAAGAAGTAAAAATCTTCATATTTTCTGTGGAGATGTGCTATCAGACATCATGGTAGTATTTACTGAAGATCACTGATTACATTCGAAAAAACCAAGAGTCTTTGACAAATTATGCTGTTATTCAAAATTGAGAGCTGTTGTTTGAATCAACATGTCTAAAAGGTATTCTAATGGTTGATCTCTGTTGACAGATGACACTTGACAGTGATAAGGAGGTCATCGTGCTATTGAACAGTACAAAAGGATATTCGTTGGAGTCAGAACTCCACCCGAGGCCATATAAGCCGATGACGCAGGCCTTTCGAAATATAACAGTTTGCTACTCTCCAGGTGTGTACTTTTTTATATTAATTATGAGTTCTTTAGTACAACAATCAATAGAGCGAAATGTAATTAAACGAAACCCGAAACACCTTGTTATGATGTTAAGTTATAGTTATCAATTGTATTGATTATCATTTTCGTTTGGCAATAAAAGGGGTTTTCCAAATGATATTATCAAACGCAGGATAGCTTGTTCTTGAATTATCGAATTTACATTTATATCGGTGGTACAATAAAATTATCTCCGAGTCATATTTACTACTGGAGGTGATCAGTTTTGCTTTTTTCTCTTTGACATACCAGTAAATCGTTTATTTACTGTCTAATTTTGGTTACATACATCTAGATACAATTACAACTCAATTTTTATCTAAACTATGTCACAAAATGACACAAGTTTTCGTTATTTTGATTCAATAATGATATTCGTACTATTCAAACAGTGCCCAAACGACATTGTCGGATTTAACAGTAACATACCAATACGAAATGAAATGTAATGTTTTCTTTTATAGGAGCGTTATCCTATGTTACCAAATCAGGCAACCAATTCTTTGTTAAGTGGTAACAGTTAAATCCCGTTTTTCTTCAACGTAAATTCAGAAATAACTTTTGGTAATTTTCCAGACTCATATATTTAATATATGTAAATTTGAAATGCATGAATGGGGATATCGTTACAAAAATCAGGTAGTGGACTTTGATCTTCAGTTTTATTGCAGCTTGCATGCCACGTTTTAATACATTCGAATAGAAGCAGCAATCAAAACATACATATGGCTTCTCTTTAAATAATTTGATATTAAAACATACGAAATCTTCTGGACAAATGAATAAATGCAGCTCACCTTTTTTGTTTGTTTGTTTGTTTGTTCTTTTATGCTGGTCAGTTTTGGTTTTCTACGTTCGCCTACGAGGCTACAAAATTTAGACTCTTGGCCCCATCAACGATTCCTGGAAGTATAGGACATGTTTTATTTCATCGTGCTTGTTATATTCTGTAGAATACTGCTGTTTACATTGGATAACTTCAGTAAAAATATGTAAACATTAAGTTAATACTTTATTGATATAACATTGTATTATATATCTACTAGTTGTGCCTACCTAACTCAAAAATAAATAATTGTTGTTTTTAATTACAGCAACAACCTCAACGTCAATTACCACAACTGCTAGTCCTCCAACTACCACTAGTAGTCCCTCTTCTAGTACCACCGGTCCGACTCCTACATCTTCTCGTCCTACATCTACAACCACAATTTCAACACCAACAGGAACAAGTCTGATATCTACAGTAACGACCCCAGGTATGTAGGTTGTGCACTTAAATGGAATATAGAAATTAGTACTAATTATATGTGGTATGTTTATAGACAATGATGGTTTCATAGTCAATCGGGCAATATGTTATTTCAATGTCCTAAAAGCATTTAGATTAAGCTGAAAATGACTCAATTTCATTATGATAGAGACGAAATATTCAACTTTCATTGATGAAATGGCATTGACAGAAGCAAATATCAAATGGTATAAATTCATGGTATATGATATTAGATTCAGCTATATCCGTCTGTCAAAGTATTAGTTACATGTAACCAAATTAACTAACGTACATAATCGTGCATGTGGTGTTCTCGGAATGATGAATTCACAAATTGGTCTTACGTTTTACAAATACACACATTTAATCATTCATTGAATTCGAATGCTAACACGAAGCACTTGTGTATGTTCTATTCTGCCACATTTTGTGCTACATTCATAATTTGTGCTGTATCTTTTTCTCAATTTCTATTGTGTGCCTTTTGTACAATCCATGTAGTCTACAAACTTTTCTTACAGAATGCCAGGAAATGACGATGGATTCAAGTTCAACGGCCGTTATTCAAAAGACGAAAGATGGCGTCATACACGATTTAAAAGCATTGGTTCATGGTGTAGAACCAACTATTTATTATAGCCTAACAAACATTGAGAGCGAAGTCACCTTTCTATCATATTCAGCACTATTATTTGGTGTCAACTACATTAATGTATATGTGCTAGATCGAAATGGTGTCAGAGTGAATGGACAGAACCCTTTTTCCGTAAGTTAATTTGATTTGGAAATGCGTTCCTAAAGCTATGAGGCATTCATACTAATGTCATTTATATATTCGGCTGATTTTGAGGCTGACTACATTTTTAGCTCGAATTATATAAGAATATAATCGTCGACAAGATAAACTTTCTTTTGACTCATTTCAAATCAAGTTAAGTATAGTATTTTAGACTGTGGAATTTTAGTGGTAATCTGTGATTCATTTTAAAACTGTATAACTAAAATGTGGCCAGGTACCTTTAAAACTACACATACGCATGTTTGTGTGTAATGCAATTCTCAAGTGTGTGTTTTGCGTGAAGTTAAGAACAACATGAATATTAGATTATACAAGAGCATATTTTTTTTCTTTCACTGAGTTAAATGGGGCCCATTTCAAGAAGTAAAAATCTTCATATTTTCTGTGGAGATGTGCTATCAGACATCATGGTAGTATTTACTGAAGATCACTGATTACATTCGAAAAAACCAAGAGTCTTTGACAAATTATGCTGTTATTCAAAATTGAGAGCTGTTGTTTGAATCAACATGTCTAAAAGGTATTCTAATGGTTGATCTCTGTTGACAGATGACACTTGACAGTGATAAGGAGGTCATCGTGCTATTGAACAGTACAAAAGGATATTCGTTGGAGTCAGAACTCCACCCGAGGCCATATAAGCCGATGACGCAGGCCTTTCGAAATATAACAGTTTGCTACTCTCCAGGTGTGTACTTTTTTATATTAATTATGAGTTCTTTAGTACAACAATCAATAGAGCGAAATGTAATTAAACGAAACCCGAAACACCTTGTTATGATGTTAAGTTATAGTTATCAATTGTATTGATTATCATTTTCGTTTGGCAATAAAAGGGGTTTTCCAAATGATATTATCAAACGCAGGATAGCTTGTTCTTGAATTATCGAATTTACATTTATATCGGTGGTACAATAAAATTATCTCCGAGTCATATTTACTACTGGAGGTGATCAGTTTTGCTTTTTTCTCTTTGACATACCAGTAAATCGTTTATTTACTGTCTAATTTTGGTTACATACATCTAGATACAATTACAACTCAATTTTTATCTAAACTATGTCACAAAATGACACAAGTTTTCGTTATTTTGATTCAATAATGATATTCGTACTATTCAAACAGTGCCCAAACGACATTGTCGGATTTAACAGTAACATACCAATACGAAATGAAATGTAATGTTTTCTTTTATAGGAGCGTTATCCTATGTTACCAAATCAGGCAACCAATTCTTTGTTAAGTGGTAACAGTTAAATCCCGTTTTTCTTCAACGTAAATTCAGAAATAACTTTTGGTAATTTTCCAGACTCATATATTTAATATATGTAAATTTGAAATGCATGAATGGGGATATCGTTACAAAAATCAGGTAGTGGACTTTGATCTTCAGTTTTATTGCAGCTTGCATGCCACGTTTTAATACATTCGAATAGAAGCAGCAATCAAAACATACATATGGCTTCTCTTTAAATAATTTGATATTAAAACATACGAAATCTTCTGGACAAATGAATAAATGCAGCTCACCTTTTTTGTTTGTTTGTTTGTTTGTTCTTTTATGCTGGTCAGTTTTGGTTTTCTACGTTCGCCTACGAGGCTACAAAATTTAGACTCTTGGCCCCATCAACGATTCCTGGAAGTATAGGACATGTTTTATTTCATCGTGCTTGTTATATTCTGTAGAATACTGCTGTTTACATTGGATAACTTCAGTAAAAATATGTAAACATTAAGTTAATACTTTATTGATATAACATTGTATTATATATCTACTAGTTGTGCCTACCTAACTCAAAAATAAATAATTGTTGTTTTTAATTACAGCAACAACCTCAACGTCAATTACCACAACTGCTAGTCCTCCAACTACCACTAGTAGTCCCTCTTCTAGTACCACCGGTCCGACTCCTACATCTTCTCGTCCTACATCTACAACCACAATTTCAACACCAACAGGAACAAGTCTGATATCTACAGTAACGACCCCAGGTATGTAGGTTGTGCACTTAAATGGAATATAGAAATTAGTACTAATTATATGTGGTATGTTTATAGACAATGATGGTTTCATAGTCAATCGGGCAATATGTTATTTCAATGTCCTAAAAGCATTTAGATTAAGCTGAAAATGACTCAATTTCATTATGATAGAGACGAAATATTCAACTTTCATTGATGAAATGGCATTGACAGAAGCAAATATCAAATGGTATAAATTCATGGTATATGATATTAGATTCAGCTATATCCGTCTGTCAAAGTATTAGTTACATGTAACCAAATTAACTAACGTACATAATCGTGCATGTGGTGTTCTCGGAATGATGAATTCACAAATTGGTCTTACGTTTTACAAATACACACATTTAATCATTCATTGAATTCGAATGCTAACACGAAGCACTTGTGTATGTTCTATTCTGCCACATTTTGTGCTACATTCATAATTTGTGCTGTATCTTTTTCTCAATTTCTATTGTGTGCCTTTTGTACAATCCATGTAGTCTACAAACTTTTCTTACAGAATGCCAGGAAATGACGATGGATTCAAGTTCAACGGCCGTTATTCAAAAGACGAAAGATGGCGTCATACACGATTTAAAAGCATTGGTTCATGGTGTAGAACCAACTATTTATTATAGCCTAACAAACATTGAGAGCGAAGTCACCTTTCTATCATATTCAGCACTATTATTTGGTGTCAACTACATTAATGTATATGTGCTAGATCGAAATGGTGTCAGAGTGAATGGACAGAACCCTTTTTCCGTAAGTTAATTTGATTTGGAAATGCGTTCCTAAAGCTATGAGGCATTCATACTAATGTCATTTATATATTCGGCTGATTTTGAGGCTGACTACATTTTTAGCTCGAATTATATAAGAATATAATCGTCGACAAGATAAACTTTCTTTTGACTCATTTCAAATCAAGTTAAGTATAGTATTTTAGACTGTGGAATTTTAGTGGTAATCTGTGATTCATTTTAAAACTGTATAACTAAAATGTGGCCAGGTACCTTTAAAACTACACATACGCATGTTTGTGTGTAATGCAATTCTCAAGTGTGTGTTTTGCGTGAAGTTAAGAACAACATGAATATTAGATTATACAAGAGCATATTTTTTTTCTTTCACTGAGTTAAATGGGGCCCATTTCAAGAAGTAAAAATCTTCATATTTTCTGTGGAGATGTGCTATCAGACATCATGGTAGTATTTACTGAAGATCACTGATTACATTCGAAAAAACCAAGAGTCTTTGACAAATTATGCTGTTATTCAAAATTGAGAGCTGTTGTTTGAATCAACATGTCTAAAAGGTATTCTAATGGTTGATCTCTGTTGACAGATGACACTTGACAGTGATAAGGAGGTCATCGTGCTATTGAACAGTACAAAAGGATATTCGTTGGAGTCAGAACTCCACCCGAGGCCATATAAGCCGATGACGCAGGCCTTTCGAAATATAACAGTTTGCTACTCTCCAGGTGTGTACTTTTTTATATTAATTATGAGTTCTTTAGTACAACAATCAATAGAGCGAAATGTAATTAAACGAAACCCGAAACACCTTGTTATGATGTTAAGTTATAGTTATCAATTGTATTGATTATCATTTTCGTTTGGCAATAAAAGGGGTTTTCCAAATGATATTATCAAACGCAGGATAGCTTGTTCTTGAATTATCGAATTTACATTTATATCGGTGGTACAATAAAATTATCTCCGAGTCATATTTACTACTGGAGGTGATCAGTTTTGCTTTTTTCTCTTTGACATACCAGTAAATCGTTTATTTACTGTCTAATTTTGGTTACATACATCTAGATACAATTACAACTCAATTTTTATCTAAACTATGTCACAAAATGACACAAGTTTTCGTTATTTTGATTCAATAATGATATTCGTACTATTCAAACAGTGCCCAAACGACATTGTCGGATTTAACAGTAACATACCAATACGAAATGAAATGTAATGTTTTCTTTTATAGGAGCGTTATCCTATGTTACCAAATCAGGCAACCAATTCTTTGTTAAGTGGTAACAGTTAAATCCCGTTTTTCTTCAACGTAAATTCAGAAATAACTTTTGGTAATTTTCCAGACTCATATATTTAATATATGTAAATTTGAAATGCATGAATGGGGATATCGTTACAAAAATCAGGTAGTGGACTTTGATCTTCAGTTTTATTGCAGCTTGCATGCCACGTTTTAATACATTCGAATAGAAGCAGCAATCAAAACATACATATGGCTTCTCTTTAAATAATTTGATATTAAAACATACGAAATCTTCTGGACAAATGAATAAATGCAGCTCACCTTTTTTGTTTGTTTGTTTGTTTGTTCTTTTATGCTGGTCAGTTTTGGTTTTCTACGTTCGCCTACGAGGCTACAAAATTTAGACTCTTGGCCCCATCAACGATTCCTGGAAGTATAGGACATGTTTTATTTCATCGTGCTTGTTATATTCTGTAGAATACTGCTGTTTACATTGGATAACTTCAGTAAAAATATGTAAACATTAAGTTAATACTTTATTGATATAACATTGTATTATATATCTACTAGTTGTGCCTACCTAACTCAAAAATAAATAATTGTTGTTTTTAATTACAGCAACAACCTCAACGTCAATTACCACAACTGCTAGTCCTCCAACTACCACTAGTAGTCCCTCTTCTAGTACCACCGGTCCGACTCCTACATCTTCTCGTCCTACATCTACAACCACAATTTCAACACCAACAGGAACAAGTCTGATATCTACAGTAACGACCCCAGGTATGTAGGTTGTGCACTTAAATGGAATATAGAAATTAGTACTAATTATATGTGGTATGTTTATAGACAATGATGGTTTCATAGTCAATCGGGCAATATGTTATTTCATTTAGATTAAGTTGAAAATGACCCAATTTCATTTTGATAGAGACGAAATATTCAACGTTTGTGACTTTGCAATATTTAACACATCGGTGTATTCATCCGATATTCTATTAAAATAATGATATTCAAATGGAATAGAAAATGCGACCCTGAATTTTTTTTTTCTGTGAGTGCGGCCTTCATTGTTTACGCGGCACCGTCCAAACGTTGTTGAACAGTGAAGTGACTGTGTGGGTATATTCAGGGTCACACGGGATACGTCAAGCTAATGAAACATTGAATAATTTGCAATGTAGTAGATGCGAGAAAAAAATCTATCACCTGCAACTAAGCGAGGTCAGGGTATCTCAATTTCTTGCTAAAAGCCTGTTACATCTTAACATAGGCTTATTACTCGGATGGGATTATGGTACAGGTTCTTAGACCTCGACTGAGATACCAGGATCACGCTCAGTTACAGGTATCATATTTCATTAATGACGAAAATAAGAACATTCTATTTTGAGTTTATCTGTTAGTTATAGACATCTAAAATGTAAAGCGTGATACTGGGAGGAAGCCCAGAAAAAAAAAAAAAAAAAAAAGCGTATAATAGGGAACGAAGAATGTCGCTATTCCGAAATAAACATTCATAATACGAAAATTATAATTATCGTACCTATCGTACGATCTGGATGAAAGTTGTCCATGTTAGTGTCATACAAAGGAAAGATCGACGTAGATGACCAATATCGAAGAATGGTTTCAAATTCTGGCTGTTATGTACGATAAACGTCGTTGTGTAAAAAACATGTCAGTGAAGACATCTCCACGAGTTCGTCCGCAGTGTATTTCTTTGATTTGGACGTGTTTTTTTTATGAAATAAAACCTAGTATGGTTCACAATATTATAACAGTATTCAATATGTCAGGGTAACGAAGGTATTCATGATACGGGGTAAAAAACGCCGGATATCTATGTTTACATTAGACATTACGAACGCCTTTAGTATAAATTCAAAGTAAGTATGCTGCGATTCAGGTACATCCGTCAGCCCCAGTGTTTGACACATGTTAACGAAAAATAATCTACCGAATCATGCATGTTTGAAATACACTACATAAACAAAATATTGAGTTTGAGTAGTAAAATTGAATGGAGGGAACCATATCTACGGGTGCAGTTTTAATCAATGGTAAGTTTAACTTCTGCCTCACGTAGGGTGGTCGGATGGTATAGCGGTAACACGCTCACCTTTTACATAGGCGTCCGCAAGGGTCGAACCCAGGAATGGACGTGAACATGTATAGGCTCAACTTCTCGACCACATGGAATTTCCTCGGGTACCCCCCTTTCCTCCCACAGCAATACCCCTCGCACGCTTGCCTCCGAGCAACTAAGGGTGCTTAATATCAGCTTAAAGCTTCAGCTTTTGGCCCTTGGATGCAAAACACATAAAGTGTATTTATTCATCCACGTTTAACATTCATTTCGGTCATTTTAAATTTCTCGACGTCGTCTAATCATCTCTCTAAGCGAATTATTTTAAATATTAGCTCGGAAATATTTACATTGAAACAACCTATTAAATGTCGATATTATTATCCATTATCCTTTAAAAGTCGTAAATCAAATCAAAATGAATAAATCTTCAGTTGTATGTCATCTTATTCCCTTTATGTTCTGTGCAAAAAAATTGATAAGCAATTTTCATGTTTCAATTGAAGCTACCACAGCGACGTCACCAGCGACAACGATATCATCAGAAACAACATCAACAACCACTACAACTACACCAGTCTCAACATCAACAACCTCAACAGGAACTAGTCCGTCAACAAGTAGCTCAACATTTACAGCTTCAACTCTATCACCTACAACAACCACAGGTATTCAAAGTTTTGTACTCGTGTAAGTATATTGATAGGAGAAAATCCCGAATAACGTTTCTGGATTGAACATTAATAGAGAAATGCATCATTCGCACAACGTTGTTCGGCTTATCAAATACCATGTGATGCGTCACGATTTAATGACTCTTCTTTTCCTTTTAATTCAAAAGGCCCAAGACCAACATTCCTGAAAAAGTAATTATTTTCAAAACATTGAAAATTTAAATTCATTGTGTCTTTAAGGACTATGAAACAGTATAGTCATGTAGCAAATATTGTTAAGATAACAAGTTTTCTATGTGGCCATTATATCCAGTTAAATGTTCCCTTTAAATACAACGGTGTGTAGAACTATTGAACTACGTAAATGCGAAATATGACAGTACCTTAAGGTCACTACCATTGATAAAAACAGTACCTTTAGATATTGATATTTCTGTCGAAGAAATTCAAGGTAATAGGTTCAGCAGATGATCAGTGCTATATTGATGAGCACAATCGCAGCTTTTCTGTCTTTTATGATTCTTTCTATGAACTGTTTCACAACATTTTTAAATGACGATGAACATTGGAGATTAGTATTTCAATCTACTCAACCTGAGAAAAATGCCATTCTCAATGTCTTTTATGCCTTCTTACATTGTGTTTTCAACAAAACATCAAAACAATACCAGCAAGGCAACTTAATCATAATTCAAACTCAAGTTTCATAAAACTATAGCAAAATATGAACTAAAGAGATATTTACACGGAGACGCCCGGAAAAGTACAAGGAGAATAGGACCAGATGTTCAAGCAGAGTAAGCGTTTTTTTTACTTCATCGACGGCGCCCTCCATGTAAACCTTGGTCAATCCAAGTAAGTTATGTCACAGTCGCGAATGAGAACAAGGTATACAACAACGGAACCAACTGGCAAACTAAAGAGCATGAAATACGTCGAGCTTCATGTCGCACAAAGAAATAGAATATTTCTCAGTGAGATCACTATGGCAACCATAAAACTTCCCCATAAGTTTCATTAACCAGCATCATTTAGACCCTTGCGTCAGTCAGTTGACGACTTCTTGCATGAAAATCGTGATAATGGGAACAGGCACTTGCATATCGAATAAACTATGGCATATAAATACCATAGGGTGGAGACGTTAGTCATACAACGTGATGTAAAGTTGTTTATGCTGATTTCGTTGTATTTAAAGCTCGAGATTAGCAGCTGATTTCCAGTTCTGATGGATATATACGATGGACGTAGTCAATACATTTCTTGTTAATTAAAGACAAGACGTCATCAATATATCTGAAGGTGAAACTAAACGACTTTGTTTTGATAGGTTTTGATATTTCTTCTTTGATTTTTGAAATATGCTTCAATATAGGTCACAACCATGTATTTATACCGCCGTTCGCCTTTCGTGGAGAAGAACGCTCTCATTACGAGATAACGAAGGCGTTCCTTCAGAATGGGGTACGGTGATATACAAGGTAAACAATTCAAATGTTCCTTTTACATTCTTGCAGAGTGCCAGGACATGATGATGAATTCGAATTCAACAGATGTCGTTCAAACAGTAAATGATGGCACAGTATACGATCTCAATCAAACAGTATACGCTGAGCCACCACCTGTCTTCTATCATTTAATAAACATCAATGGCGAAGCCACTTTCAAAACTTATTCCGCTGTGATATACGGTGCAAAAAGTATCAGAGTATATGTACTGGATCGGGACGGTAACAGAGTTAATATGCAACCTTTCCAAGTAAGTTTATTTTTCAACTAAATTCTAAGCCCAATCAAACGCAGAATACAAACAGCACTGGCTTACTCTGTCTAGGTCTGACAGGCCATCTCTTCAAATGCAATTTTGTCTCTAACCAGTCATCTCCTAACATACAGCTTTGTCACAGACATGTCATCTCCTTACATGAAGCTTTGTCACTAACAAGCTGTCTCCTAATAAGCAGTTTTGCGACTAAAAGGCCATCTCCTTACTTGCAGATTTGCGTCTAACAGGCCACCTCCATCAATTCAACTTTGTCAGTGTCAGCCCATCTCCTAACATGCAGCCTTGTCACTGACATACCATCTCATCGATGCAGCATTGTCACTACCAACAAATCTCCGTTACACGCACCTTTATCACCGACACGTTATCCCCCTTACTTGCAGCTTTGTCACTGATACGCCATCTCCTAACGTACAGCATTGTTACTGACATTTTCTCACCTTAAATGCAGCTTTTTCATTATCATACCATCTCCCTCACATGCAGCTTTGTCATGTACATATCTGCAAACCTTCAACTTTGTCATAGACAATTTGTCATTTTGCCATCGTCAATGGCAGGCCATCTCTTAACATGCAGCTTCGTCACTGACATACCATCTCCGTGAATACCACTGTGTCACTGCCAAGATATCTCCTTACATGCAGTTTTTTTCACAGACCTGCCATCCCCTTACTTGCAGCTTTGTCACAGACCTGCCATTGCCTTACATGCAGCATTGTCACAGACTACCATCCCCATAAAATGCCTCGTTGTCACTGACATGCCATTTCCTAACATACAGCATTGTCACTGACATTCCATCTCCCAACATACAGTTTTGTCACAGATAGGCCATCTCCTTACATGCAAGTTTGTCACTGACTGACCAGCTGGTAACTTACAGCTTTGTTACTGCATGATATCTCCGAACATACAGCTTTGTCACAGACATGCCATCTCCTTACATGCAGCTTTGTCACTTACTACCATCTCATTACATGCAGCTTTGTCACTGATATTCCATCTCCAAACATACAGCTTTGTCACAGACAGGTCATCACCTTACATGCAGGTTTGTCACTGACTGACCAGCTGGTAGCTTACAGTATTGCTACTTTATATCTCCGAACATACAGCTTTGTCAGAGACATGCCATCTCCTTACATGCAGCTTTGTCACTTCCTACCCTCTCATTATATGCATCTTTGTCAGTGATTACCATCTCCTTATATACAGCTTTGTCACCGACTGGCCAAATCCTCCTAACATACAGCTTTGTCACTGACATTCCATCTCCAAACATACTGCCTTGTCTCAGACATGCCATCTTTGTCGAGGACGTGCCATCTCCTTATATGCAGATTTGTAACTATCTACCATTTTATCATATGCAGCTTTGTCACTGACATGATATTTCCCAACATACAGCCTTGTCACGGACATGCCATCTCCTTACTTGCAGATTAGCCACTGACATAATATCTCCCAACATACAGCTTTGTATCAGACATGCCATCTCCCAACATACTGCATAGTCTCTGACATACCATCGCCTTGCATGCCTCGTTGTCACTGACTAGCCAGCGCGTAACTGACAGCTTTTTTACTGCATGATATCTCCGAACATAGAGCCTTGTCACAGACATGCCATCTCCTTACTTGCAGATTAGCCACTGACATAATGTCAACCAACATACAGCTTTGTATCAGACATGCCATCTCCTTACATGCAGCTTTGTCACTTACATGATATCTCCCAACATACAGCTTTGTCACAGACATGGTATCTCCGAACATACAGCTTTGTCACAGACATGTCATCTCCTTACATGCAGCTTTGTCACTGACATGATATCTCCCAACATACAGCGTTGTATCAGACATGCCATCTCCTTACATGCAGCTTTGTCACATTAAGGTCAACATAATATCTGACAAATTTTCCGGCCAAATTAAGATTTTATTTTGATAAAATAGATGTAATAAAGCAATAATAACGATAATAAACTGTCAAAATGTAAATACTGTATATAATTTTCCTTATCTTGTTTACCAAAAATGTAAATACATACAATAAATCAACATTTGATAAGCTAACAAAAACTATCAGCCATTCTAATTACGTTGACAGATGTCACTTTACCATGATACGGTGGTCGTCATACAATTGAATAGTACAAAGGGAAATTCTCTGGAGATTCAGCTAGAGGCGAGAGCTTACGGATATAGAAGGCTGAATTTTCGATACATCGGTGTTTGCTATTCGCCAGGTTTGTATACCGTTTCAAATGGCTTTTTATTAAAAGCATAAAAATGAATTATGAAACTATTGTATTGTATGACAAAATAAGAAGGCAGATACAGAAAAGGTAATAGATATTGTCAGAATAAAAACACAACCATAATTAATTGTACATTGCGTACGTGCATTTATTCATATACACTGACTGTTCATTTGTCAAATAATTTTAAACGCCTTGTTCCGTCCTTCTACTAATTCATGTTAGGAGATCTGTTAACAGATAAATAGTAATCTCAGTTACATTGCTATTCTCGTTTTTTTTATCATATGATATAAATAACCATGTTCACAAAGTAAGATTACCAGAATTACATTTACACGCAACGCGGATGTAAATATACAACATAACAATATCAGTCACATCAAATGTTGAGAGGTCTAACAACCCTTTGAATTAAACGAAATTACGTAAAAATGAAATTCGCCTATTTGAAATATGCTAAAAAGTACCCCGTTCCTGGAGAGAGATATAAAAACCTTGAATCATGAAATTCACCTCATTGGCAAAACACCTTAAAGCCAAATACGCAACTTTCAATACAGGTAAAAACCCATATCTGAAGGAATCTCTCACTACCGATATCCACTTATAGAACACATATGATGTGTAACTTTTAACACTTCTTGGTTATTACGCCAACTGTACATCATACCTTTAGAACGTTTCACCGGTATAGAACGAGAAAGATTTTAATGACTGATGATATTAATTTTGCTTTTACGTTTAATGACATAACACTATTTAATGAACAGATTATTCATTACAAAAACCTCTGGCACACCAAAATATCGGTATCATCAATGACCTGTGAATATTTGCATGCATCATAGTTATTTCGAATTTTAAAGATGTTTTGGCTCGATACATTTTATTTTTCGGACCATTTAGATGATACCGTTATTTCATTTCGTTTGTTTCATATTTTAATGCAAGGTACCACTACGACGTCATCTGTAACAGTAACGTCAACAACCACTACCTCGTCAACTACGACAACGACAACAACACCAGTCTCAACACCATCATCAACAAGTGGTACGACTTCTACTTCTGCAAGTGAGACACCTACGACGCATACAGGTATATAAAGTATTATATATTAATGTCATATTTTATGAGGTGAAATTGTAGCTTTAGTCAGTATAAGAATTCAATGTAATCAGGCATCAGAGAAGATTGATTGCATTGATGAAATGGTTCGAATGCCTTCTTGTTGCATTTTTCTCGATCACCAGATTACCACTGGATTGGTTGGTTATGTAAATGTAATTGCAAAAAAAAAAAAAAAAAAAAAAATTAGTTGGATAATCCCTTAGTAAAATTTTAGAGTCCAGACCTGACATATTAGAGAATTCGATATTTTGAACGGCGTATCATATTTGCATTGCTTTACGCTTTTGTTCATTGACGGACTGTCTCCTCATATATTTGAGGAAAGCGTATTGACTGCTAGTGCTTTAACAGAGTGTGATATGTTGGGATATAGCTACCACACTGAATTGGTCTATCGAAGGCACCCAGATGGACACCCAACTCGGTCATACTCAAAACGACCATTACAGAAGCAACATGATTATATATCTTAACGTATACTGGAGAGTAGTGACTATTTTTTAGACTCGAGCATGTCTCCCTCAAAGTCTTCCTCACAGAGGCGGAAACTCGACTGAAGACCAAAAAGTGAGGCATTAGGGAAAAGGTCAAGAAAGAGAAAAAAATTATTTGGAAAGTACATGAAATTGCACCGTATACCCCATATTTCAAGAACAATGTAATATATCTTGTAATATTTTCAATATGTGAACTAAGATTGTAGTATGTCCATATTTGTAGAGTGACAGGAATGTGAGTTATGCATACGATGTGTGCTAGATTAACACAAGATGTATGCACAATGAGTACATGGTAAGATTACTGGACGAAGATTGCTATCACACAGTGATTACAGATGTGTGATTATATCGTGGTTTAGAATTGACTTATCAATAAGTGTGGAATAGGGTTTACTTATCTTCTAAATACTTGCGCAATTAAGTATATTACCCAATTGAGTTACATATCAAGAGGTCCGTTGTAGATTTATCCGGTATAGAATGAATTCTTATTAATACTTTTAATTAAATGGTTTTAGTTTACAAAACACCCCACGAGACCGGTCGTATTGTATAGACAATCATCATATACATTAAGTAAACATTAAATGTGCGTCTCTTTGATATCGTCTCAAATCTTTTCCAATAAAAATTAGTTACATTATCACTTTCATTTTTTATGTTATTTTGCAACGAAAATATAAAAGTAACACAATAAACACTCTCAATACCAAATCATTTACAAACATAAATATTACAGCAGACCCCGTATTTATCCAGAGATATCACTCTCATTCCAGGTTCACTATTTGCAGATACCACTACACCAATATTTTTATAGATTTTATCTATTTTTTTTTTCGAGATTATGCCAGATGTTTGTTAATGCAATCAAAGGAAGCTAACCACACAATTATTTTTATCTTGATGCAATGCTTTGTTTGCAGCTCCCACAACTTCGACAACTACTACAACAACGACGACAACTACCACAACGACACCGCCAACCACAACGTCTGAAATCACTAGTGCAATACCAACAACTAGTCAAACACCTTCAAGCACAAGTTCGACGCTTACAACGAGGACAGGTATTTCCAAATGTATTTCCAAATATTTCCTCCAAGAAGTGTATTATAAGGCCGAAAGGAGTTAGATGCCTGAAATTTGTAAATCAAATCAGCACCAACTACTGCTTCGAAACCTGATACTACTAATCACACATCGCTATATATACAACTATTAATCAAATACTACCATCCATCAATCATTAACTACATATTTGACGTTTACAACTGCTAATTAGACACATTAAACTCCGACATCTACAGCTGCCAATCCGCCATTGGCAACTGCTTATCAGACAATAACAACTACAACTCCAACACCTACAACTACTAATTCGACACTCATAACTACTAATCCGACATCACAGCTAATAATTAGACACTTACAGCTACTCCTACGTCACCTATAACTAATAATGAGATCTATACAACAACTAATCAGACACTAACAACAGCTAATCCGATACCTATAACGAATCATCAAATAAATCGATGATACATCAGATTTCGTCATAGAGGTGGCTTGCTTTTATTGTCAATGGTAATAATTATAAATATCGAATATAGTCAAAATGATCTGAACGTCATCAAACTTCACAACAGGTACCTTCCCAATATCAGCTTAGATCATTATGTGAAAATGCGGTATAAACGTAAATTGGTTTATGATGAAAGTGTATCGTATTATTTTGATACAAGTGTAATACACATATTGATATCAAACTATATGTCTGCATCGCATTTTTGTCAACAAGTGTTTAATTCTGACAATAGTTTGTTGAAAGCAATATATTTGTATCAAACCAAATAGAAAAATAATATGGAAAAGTTTTGTCAGAAAATATTGATTCACAAATAGGAAATTTCAAAGCAGAATATTGACAATTTGCAAATATCAACTGACGTGTCTCAACAAATATGCAGCGGGAAATTCATCAGAATTAGAACAATATTGAAATATTGAAATTTCCTATTTGTGAGTGACAACAATTTACATTTTGCATTAACTTCTGGGTAACTCTAACCAAGTTTTCAACAACCTGGGCCAGTATGTTCAATTCTGTGAAGAAAAGAAACTGGTTTTGGATGAAACATTATTTGATACGCGTGTAATGATCATATTGATATAAAACAATTAGTTTTATTCAGAAATTTCATAAATTATCAGCGATGCAGGATTAACTAGCATGATCAAAACCATGAATTAACAAGATACTGAAATGAATGTATTGCTGTGAAAACATGTCTTCCAGTAATTTAATTTTTCAAGTTATATCAATGCATTTCCAACGTCTGACTTTTCAGGAACCACGCCATCGGTACCACCAACCACCTCAACAGAAACGTCATCATTATCTACAACTGCAACTACATCACCTTCCACCTCTATCCCTACAACAGCAACCACCCCTACAACGACCATACATACTTCTTCGGCACCTTCAACAACACTGACAGGTATTGAAGTGATTGCATTTAATCGATATATTCTGTCTTATTCTCAGCAATGATTTTTGTGTAAGAAATAGTTTTATTTTGACAATAGTTTGTTGAAAGCAATATATTTACATGTATGTATTCGGCTCAATGATAAATATATAAACATATATTTTTCTCATGAAAAATCAACAATCCAGTTTGGAAAACTTTTTAGTTTCTTTTAAACTAATCAGCTTAACGACGGTAAAATCAAAGAAGGTAATACTTACATGATGAGGAAAATGAAATCAGCCAAAAGCATCCTTTCTTTGATACATTTTTACATACTATAAGCGTATATCAAACCAAATAGACCGATAATGGCGAAAAGTTTTGTCATATAATAGGTGTGTAACTGAATCAACCGTGACCGATTTTCAGTATACGAAACTGATATGGTAACGGATGATGGTTTTAGTGATATTTCGTGTCGGCTACGGGTGGTAGTGTTAACAGGTTGAATTTCACATCTAACAATATACATTCAAGTTAGACAATTTTTTGTGGGATTACGGGTACTATCTACCAGACTAAAGTCGTGGAATTCCTTGGGGATGTACGCAACGTAACTTATAATTCAGTTAATCAATTGTTGATGTCGCTCTTCAGGAATTTTTTATTAGTATCAAAGTCTAAGTGAATACTAGAAAATCTTATCTAAAGACTTAATATCTCAATCCTTACAATTAATGTTGGTCCCATTGTTATCGAAAATTGATAGAAAGGATTGCAATTGTTTCGTCCAGGTTCGAGACCCAGCATTGATAAAAGCATAGGGTTCCCTTCCCATAAATTCAGTCAATCGCTCATACGATTTTTTTTCAAGTTAGCAGACGGAACTGGAGATGGTATATGTTCATCGGTCATCTTGACCGGATAGCGTTGGACAGATCAACAAACTCACGCAGTAAACATGAAAATAAACCAAATGACACTCATACAATCGATCAGATACTTCAAAACGTCTAATGCCGGTTTAGTTTGTTTAAAGAATTTAATTACAGTTCCCCTCACCAGGAGATGTTAAATTTAAGGTACATGCATTTATCTTTCCAATGTCTAATTACATATTCTGTGCGACATCAATATATGACACTCACCAGTAAATGAGTAAAAAATGCTTATAATCGGAATTAAGGATTATCATATTAATGTGTTGGCCAATTTCATACTTTTTATTTTATATTCTAGAGACGACCGAATCCATGTCATCGTCATCAGTTCTTTCAACCGAAAGTTCAACATCAATTATTTCTGTATCTACATCATCGCCTACCTCTGCAAGTAAGTTTATAACTTTCATAAATTATCCCTTTTTTCAGCTGATGCTTGGATAAACAAATTCCAAAGGATTTATGCCAGGTAATTACTGTATTAACATACTTGATAACAA